ATCATGGGGCGCTATTCCTCCCACTGGCACCAATCATGGGGCGCTATTCCTCCCACTGGCACCTACCATGGGGCACTATTCCTCCCACTGGCACCAAGCGTGGGGCACTATTCCTCCCACTGGCACCAAGCGTGGGGCACTATTCCTCCCACTGGCACCAAGCGTGGGGCACTATTCCTCCCACTGGCACCAAGCGTGGGGCACTATTCCTCCCACTGGCACCAAGCGTGGGGCACTATTCCTCCCACTGGCACCAAGCGTGGGGCACTATTCCTCCCACTGCACCAAGCGTGGGGCACTATTCCTCCCACTGGCACCAAGCGTGGGGCACTATTCCTCCCACTGGCACCAAGCGTGGGGCACTATTCCTCCCACTGGCACCAAGCGTGGGGCACTATTCCTCCCACTGGCACCAAGCGTGGGGCACTATTCCTCCCACTGGCACCAAGCGTGCGGCACTATTCCTCCCACTGGCACCAAGCGTGCGGCACTATTACTCCCACTGACACCAAGCATGGGGTAGTATTCCTTCCACTGACACCAAGCATGTAGTATTGTTCCATTTACTGATACCAATGACAGGGTGTAACTCCTCCCACTGATACAAACACTGACGTGTTATTCTTTCCACTGAAACCAAAGTTAAGGCACTAATACTCCCAATTAAAATCCAGGGAACCTTGGAGTCTCCACCACCATGCAATAGTCCCACTTCATTCCTCCTACACTAAAGTGTGCACACCTCCAGCCTTAACTGAGAATCCAGGGAATCTCAGCTTCTCCACCATCATACATGCTGCACGCTTCAGTGGAGGAGGAATGAAGTAGAACTATTGCATGGTGGTGGAGACACCGAGGTCCTTGGACTTTCAGTTAAGGGTGGAGGTGTCCATGGACTGAAATCCAGGCACCTCAATCTCAAAGAGAGGGCTGAGGGTGGGGAGGGGGGTCAGAGAGAGGGGCTGAGAAAGAGAGAGGGGGTCAGAGAGAGGGGGAGAGAGAGAGAGAGAGAGAGAGAGGGGGGTCAGAGAGAGAGGGGAGTCAGAGAGAGAGAGAGGGGGGTGAGAGAGAGAGGGGGGTCAGACAGGGGGTGAGATAGAGGGGGTGAGAAAGAGAGAGGGGGGTGCGAGAGAGAGGGAGGGGAGTCATAGAGGGGGGGGGGGGGGTGTGAGAGTCCTCTACCTGTCCCTGTCTGCAGTTCCTCCTGTGCCCCCTTGTCCCAGTACCCATCTGCTGTGTGTGATAAGGTGTGTGTGATGCTCAGTACGATACCTTCCATGCCAGCAGGATGTGCATGATAGCCTGCAGTGGGCAGGGTCTGGTCTTGCTCTTGGTGAGGACAGGAGGTGCTTTGCTCCTTCCAGCGAATCTATGTGATGTGAGATGGAGTGGTCCCTGGCTGCCTGCACCTCCAGTCCGTCCCCATTCTCTGGGATCCCGGTAAATCTGTCTTCCGGTCCTGGGAGCAGAGAGGAGGTTGTTTGAGGGGGTGCGCTTGCACCCGACATCACCATAGCAACATCTGACGCCAGAGTGGCCATCGGATACAGACAGCTAGACAAGCCCCAGGACACAAGTACTGGGTGAGGCGGGAGAACCTCATACAGTACAGTTGATGGGTAAAAGAAAAAGGAGTGATAGAAGGTGCAGGAGCGGTCAGTAATGAGCAAGGAGTAGCCAACAATAACACTCGCCCCCACGTTATTTCCACTTGCCAAATGTGAGCAGGCGAGTGGAAATTTTAAGCCCTGGCGTACGTTATACAAGTGTATCATGACCGAGGCTTTTGTTGCTGTATACCTTTGTCCCAGACTTTGCCAAGAATTCTCTGCCAAACTTACCACTAATGCATTCACAGCAAACAGTTAATTGGTCTAATTTAATATTTTCCTTTATCTAGAAAGTATTTATAAGTGCTTAATGGCATTTACATTCTCATGTTTGCTTTATTGTTAACCCTTACAGAACTTTGTTAATTCACAAGTTAAAGCTTCCCAATCAAATTACTTCCTTTTGTTAAAAGAAAGTCTACATGTTACCAGTGCTGGACTGTACACTCAGTTCATTTACATGTTACTGATTTTCGAACTGCTATCTGTGCAGTAACCTACCAAGACAAACTTCATGGCTACCAATCAGAGCTTTTATAAACATTGGCAAATACAGTATACAGTGGGGATCGAAAGTTTGGGCACCCCAGCTAAAAATTTGTATTAATGTGCATAAAGAAGCCAAGGAAAGATGGAAAAATCTCCAAAAGGCATCAAATTACAGATTAGACATTCTTATAATATGTCAACAAAAGTTAGATTTTATTTCCATCATTTACACTTTCAAAATAACAGAAAACAGAGGCGTCTGCAAAAGTTTGAGCACCCTGCAGAATTTATAGCATGCACTGCCCCCTTTGCCAAGCTGAGACCTGCCAGTGTCATGGATTGTTCTCAATCATAATCTGGGAAGACCAGGTTATGTCAAGCTCAAAGGTTTTAAATGCCCAGAATCATCTGACCTTGCCCAAACAATCAGCACCATGGGTTCTTCTAAGCAGTTGTCTAGAAAACTGAAACTGAAAATAGTTGACGCTCACAAAGCTGGAGAAGGCTATAAGAAGATAGCAAAGCATTTTCAGATGTCAATATCCTCTGTTCGGAATGTAATTAAGAAATGGCAGTCATCAGGAACAGTGGAAGTTAAAGCAAGATCTGGAAGACCAAGAAAAATATCAGACGGAACAGCTTGCAGGATTGTGAGAAAAACAATTCAAAACCCACGTTTGACTGCACGATCCCTCCAGAAAGATCTGGCAGACACTGGAGTTGTGGTACACTATTCCACTATAAAGAGATACTTGTACAAATATGGTCTTCATGGAAGAGTCATCAGAAGAAAACCTCTTCTATGTCCTCACCACAAAAATCATCGTTTGAACTTTGCAAATAAACATATAGACAAGCCTGATGCATTTTGGAAACAAGTTCTGTGGACCGATGAGGTTAAAATTGAACTTTTTTGCCGGAATGAGCAAAGGTACGTTTGGAGAAGAAGGGGCACAGAATTTAATGAAAAGAACCTCTGTCCAACTGTTAAGCATGGGGTTGGATCAATCATTCTTTGGGGTTGTGTTGCAGCCAGTGGCACAGGGAACATCTCACGAGCAGAAGGAAAAATGGATTCAATAAAATTTCAGCAAATTTTGGATGGTAACTTGATGCTATCTGTGAAAAAGCTGAAGTTAAAGAGAGGATGGCTTCTACAAATGGATAATGATCCTAAACACACCTTGAAATCCACGGGGGATTACATCAAGAGGCGTAAACTGAAGGTTTTGCTATGGCCTTCACAATCTCCTGACCTCAACATAATTGAAAATCTATGGATAGACCTTAGAAGAGCAGTGCATGACAGACAGCCCAGAAATCTCAAAGAACTGGAAGACTTTTGTAAGGAAGAATGGGCAAAGATACCTCAAACAAAAATTGAAAGACTCTTGGCTGGCTACAAAAAGCGTTTTCAAGCTGTGATACTTGCCAAAGGGGGCAGTACAAGATATTAACTCTGCAGGGTGCCCAAACTTTTGCAGATGCCGTTTTTTTGTTTTCTGTTATTTTGAAAGTGTAAATGATGGAAATAAAATCTAACTTTTGTTGACATATTATAAGAATGTCTAATCTGTAATTTGATGCCTTTTGGAGATTTTTCCATCTTTCCTTGGCTTCTTTATGCACATTAATACAAATTTTTAGCTGGGGTGCCCAAACTTTCGATCCCCACTGTATGTCTCTTCATAAATGCCTTAGCATGCTCCTTGATAGCATGACCGTTTTTATTCAGCTGATAACCACAGGTTGGTAAATCCAATATTCTGAAGCGCAAGAGGAGGCCCAGTACCGTAAGGATGACAGTAATTGGTGCATTACCCAGGAGAATTACCACTGCTGCTTTTACCATCAGATAGATGAATCCAGAAGCTCCATAGAAAAAACAGCGCTGTGGTGGTAGTAATATAAAAACCCTGGGTCCATCCGCTCGGGGATGATGTGCAGTGGTGATGAAAGAAGTTGAGCCTGTCAGATGCAGGGACCGCGTGATTGCGGCGTCCCGGGATGATGTCACCGCGATAGCCAGGAGACGGAGGGGAAGCCCAGCGTACTGCCGCAAGCATGGCCAATTACCTATCCCTTTCCAGGACTTGAGATAGCGCATGTGTGCGAAACATGTCGTCCTGGTAACCGGCCACATTTCCCGTTTGCAGCAGTATGCTGAGCTTCCCCTCTGTCTCCTGGCTATCGCAGTGTGACATCATCCCGGGACGCCGCGATCACGTGGTCCCTGCATCTTACAGGCTCAACTCCATTCATCACTTTACATCATCCCCGAGCGGACGGGCCGTCCACCTGACCCAGGCACTTCCTCCAAGCCACAAGCTCAAGTGTTTTATGTTCCATTGCTTATTCCAATAAAGGTACTCCCCGTAGTGGGGTTTTTCTATTACTACCACCACAGCACTGTTTTTTCTATGGAGCTTCTAACCACAGGTTGGACTGCACACACAATGCTGGTTATCTCAGCTATTACAACGCCTCTGCTTAGGACATGCAGCAAGAAACACTATAGCACAAGCTTTTTTATATACACTGTAACTTGTATTCACTGTGTGAATAAAAAGAAACACTGTGTGAAAAATAAAAAAAACACTCATGTATGTGCCAACAGATGTGTTGTGTATGTGCATGTGTGAAGTAAAACAAACTAGTTGTGTCCTGCATAAGAAAGTTGAAGAAATCCATGAAAAACAAAGGTCAGCCTTAACAAAACTTTTTACAGTTGTAGTTTACTTAATGAGATCAGTTGCACCATTTCAGGAAAGGCTATATGCAAGTTTTAGTGAAATTTATTTCAGCTAATTGACTAATGCTCACTGTATGGGTATTTCTACACACATAATGTACAGAAAACATTAAACTTTTTTCTCAACTTTTTTTTTTTCTTCTCTCTAGGCACTAAACAACTTAGAATGATGTTGTTAAGAGAGGTGGATACTATATTTGAATGCAAGTCATGTCGCAGCCTTTTTAGAGGACTACCTAATCTAATCACCCACAAGCAGTTTTACTGTATATCCAAACATTTTGTGGATGAAGGTAAGCGTTAAGTAATTACTTGGGGTATGTGGGAAGAGGAAGACCATAGGATGTGTATTTACCAAAGTTATAGATCTCCTGCATACACAGCAATTAAAATGCAGGAGAAGAAACTGAACACAGAGAAAATGAAACATTTTATCACACACACACAGTCACAAAGCAGGAGGGGAGGCACGAATTCACGGTATGGAAGCAGAGCTTCTGAATTTGTGTGTGAAAAGGGAGTACAGCAGCTCAACACACGTAGCTCATTTACCACAATCCACAGCAGCAATGGGATTTGCACTCCCTGTTCACACTTCAATATTCATGCCAGGAGTTAATCTGCACTCTGGCATACTTACCTTACACACCAGTATCCTTTCCACCAATGTGATCTGCACTCCAGTAGGCACGCCCAAATTCCCATGACAGTAATGAGATGCTCCCTGGTAATTATACCATCGGTGAGTCTGCCGTCCAGCACAGCTCCCTTTCCAGTATCTGTAGTACAAAATAAATATGCAGCTTGACATGCAAGACAAAGTGACAGGGTCTGTACAAAAGGCATCCCTTGATCCCATATACTTGCCTTACTGTGTCTGTGCTCTCTTGCAAGCTCCATGCTTCTCCACCACTGAATGTGCTGATGATCTGAGGGAGAAGAGACATCCTTTTCTGCTCATATGTACTGTATACTCTTGGGTTTAGCAATTGGCTGCTATTTACACTACAGAGAAGCAGTTAATTTTCCCCTTTATACTTGGAAGTTCTGGGTATTCTCATCAGCTATGGAGGTGCAAGAGGCTACAAGGGAGCGCAGGGAAGGTGAGTTTTAGGAACATGCCCTGTCTATAGACACTGTCGCGTTGCTCTGTATGGGCAAAGTGACATGGTCTGTTTAAGCTGAAAACACATAAGTCTGATTGCAGATATTAAAGTGGTTCTAAAGGCAGAAAGTTTTTTACCTTAATGTATTCTGTGCATTAAGGAAAAACCCTTCTCTGTGCATCTTCCCTTCCTTTCTACTTACCTGAGCTCGATCTAGCGATGTGCATGAGAGCAGAGGCTCTCTACCTCCTCATTTGCTGAGACACAGCAGCGGGAGCCATTGGTTCCTGCTGCTGTCAATCAAAGCCAGTGAGGAAGGAGCAGGGGGCATGGCCGAGCCCCTCTCTGTATCTTATGGACACACAGAGTAGGGCTCGGGAGCGAGCACGCATCAGTGCCCCCATATGGTGGGCACTCAGCGGGGGACCCTAGAAGAGGAGGAGGATCAGGGCTGCTCTGTGCAAAACCATTGCACAGAGCAGGTAAGTGTAGCATGTTTGTTTATTTAAAAAAAAAAATAAAAGTTACACATTTACAATCACTTTACGGTTAGGTAAATTTGTTTCCAACTACCTTGGAAGCAAAATGTAAGACATTAGACTGAAAGATTTAGACTGTGGTCATTGTTAATCTGTTTACACATATTATAATCTTTACAATCACCTTTCAGATTTACAGTCAACTTTGTAAAGCTGGCCATGTACATTAGAATCTGATTGCAGTCTACCTCTGTTCCATTGTAAACTGAAACTGGTCTTTTTAAAGTTGAACACCAGGCAAGGACACGGCTGATTTATCTACAGTGGATATAAAAAGTCTAAACACCCCTGTTAAAATGTCAGGTTTCTCTGATGTAAGAAAATGAGACAAAGATAAATCATTTCAGAGCTTTTTCCACCTTTAATGTGACCTATAAACTGTACAACTCTGTTGCACAACAAACTGAAATCTTTTAGGCGGAGGGAAGTAAAAATAAAAAACTAAAATAATATGGTTGCATAAGTGTGCACAACCTTAAAACTAATACTTTGTTGAAGCACCTTTTGATTTTATTACACCACTCAGTCATTTTGGGTATGAGTCTATCAGCATGGCACATCTTGACTTGGCAATATCTGCCCACTCTTCCTTGCAAAAACACTCCAAATCTGATAGATTGCGAGGGCATCTCCTGTGCACAGGCCTCCTCAGATCACCCCACAGATTTTCCTTTGGATTCAGGTCTGGGCTCTGGCTGGGCCATTCCAAAACTTTAATCTTCTTCTGGTGAAGCCAGATTTGGATGTATGCTTAGAGTCGTTGTCATGCTGAAAAATGAAGTTCCTATTCATGTTCAGCTTTCTAGCAGAAGCCTGAAGGTTTTGTGCCAATATTGACCGGTATTTGGAACTGTTCATAATTCCCTCTACCTTGACTAAGACCCCAGTTCCAGCTGAAGAAAACGGCTCCAAAGCATAATGCTACCACCACCATGCTTCACTGTGGGTATGGTGTTCTTTTGGTTATGTGCAGTGTTGTTTTTGTGCCAAACATATCTTTTAGAATTATGGACAAAAAGTTCAACCTTGGTTTCATCAGACCAGAACACATTTTCCCACATGCTTTTGGGAGACTTCTGTGTGTTTTTGCAAAATTTAGCCTGGCTTGGATGCTTTTCTTTGTACAAAAAGCTTCTGTCTTGCCACTCTACCCCCATAGCCCAGACATATGAAGAATACGGGAGATTGTTGTCACATGTACCACACAGCCAGTACTTGCCAGATATTCCTGCAGCTCCTTTAATGTTGCTGTAGGCCTCTGTTCTGATGTCATCGCGTTGTCCGCCATCTTGGAACACCCAAACATAGCGGTTGATGCCTGTTACTTCAGCGCTGTTGTAAGTGCAGACTTGTCTTGTTCTAATATAAAATTACTGGAGATAATACAGTATGAGAGGCACCTCTTTATTATCTGTTATGAGCGAATATTGATCTTTTAACCCGGAATGGTTGGAGCAGAGTGGTGGGTCTCAGTATAGTCCATCTGCCTGACGGAGCTTTATTCTCATTAAGCCTAACCTGACCTCCTGTAATAAAGGGTCTGGTGATCTGCTAAGCCTCCAAGTTCTGGTTGGAATGAAGAAAGAATTTTTTTGATTATTTTCATTTTGAGAGAATTTCTTCATTCACAGACTATTTTGCAATTATCTTTCACATTTGAGGACTTTGAGCATTTCAGGGCCCCCTATGGACTGTCATTATCTATTTATTTACATAGTTACATAGTTAGTCTGGCTGAAAAAAGACAAAAGTCCATCCCATTTCAACCATTAAAAAAAAATAAAACTATTCTATACCCACAGTTGATTCAGAGGAAGGCAAAAAAGCCCAGCAAAGCATGATCCAATTTGTTAATGCAGGGAAAAAAATTCCTTCCTGATCCCCCGAGAGGCAATCAGATATTCCCAGGATCAACTTTACCTATAAATGTTAGTATCCAATTATATTCTTTGTATCTAAGAAATAATCCAGGCCTTTTGTAAAGCAATCCACTGAGCTGGCCAGAACCAACCCTTGAGGGAGTCTATTCCACATTTTCACAGCTCTGGAGATTACATTTTTTTTCCTCCAGACGTAAAGCATGCCCCCTTGTCCTCTGTGATGATCTCAGGTTGAATAGCTCTACACGGAGTTCACTATATGAACCACTGATGTACAGTTGTGTTCAAAATAATAGCAGTCAGGCATCACTAACCTGATCAATCACTGTTTTTGGTAGAAATGATATTTCTGAATTCAAGCCACAGTACACTGTGAAGACAGTGAAGCATGGTGCGCAAGCATCATGATATTGGGATGTTTCTCATACTACGGTATTGGGCCTATTTATCGCATACCAGGGATCATGGATCAGTTTGAATATATCAGAAGACTTGAAGAGGTTATGCTGAAGAGGAAATGCCCTTGAAATGGGTGTTCCAACAAGACAACGACCCCAAACACACCAGTAAACGTGCAACATCTTGGTTCCAGACCAACAAGATTGACGTTATGGAGTGGCCAGCCCAATCCCCCGGATCTTAATCCAATAGAAAACTTGTGGGGTGACATAAAAAATGCAGTTTCTGAGGCAAAACCAAGAAATAGAGAAGAACTGTGGAATGTAGTCCAATCATCCTGGGCTGGAATACCTGTTCACAGGTGCCAGAAGTTGGTTGACTCCATGCAACACAGATGTACAGCAGTTCTCAGAAACAGTGCTTATACAACTAAATATTAAGTGATTCAAAGGAAAGCAAAATCTTCAACCATTTTTCAGTTTATATAGTGAATGTTTGAGTTTGTAAAGAAGAATACAAACACTGCTATTTTTTTGAACAGTCTAATATTCACTTTTCTTCAATTTTTTTAGAGGAACAAAACAAATTTGATATATTTTTTCTTCATGTTTTGATTTGGAATAGAATGTGAAGTGTTCCCAATGCATTTGTGTGTATGGAAAAAAAAATCTATTAGAAGGATTTTGAGCTTTATTCATTTTTTTCAACAAACTATTATTTTGAACACAACTGTATTTATACATGTTGATCATATCGCTCCTTAATCTTCTCAAGAGAGAATAAATTCAGTTCCTCTAATCTTTCCTCATAGCTGAGCTCCTCCATACCTCTTATCAGTTTGGTTTCCCCTCTCTGTACTTTCTACAGCTCCCCAATGTTCTTTTTGTGAATTGGTGCCCAAAACCGAACTGCATATTCCAGATGAGGTCTTACTAATGATTTGTAGAAGGGTAAAATGATATCTCTCTCTTGAGTCTATACCTCTTATAATGCAAGAGAGGATTTTGCTTGCTTTAGAAACCGCAGCTTGGCATTGCATGCCATTATTAAGCTTGTGATCTCCCAGAACTCCCAGATCCTTCTCCACCATTGATTTCCCCAATTGTTCCCCCCCCCCCCCCCCCAGTATGTATGATGCATGCATATTCTTAGCCCCCAAGTGTGTAATCTTACATTTATCAACAGTAAACCTCATTTACCACATAGTTGCCCAATCAAACAGTGCATTGAGGTCAGCTTGTAAGTTGGAGACATCCTGTAAAGACGTTATTCCACTGCACAGCTTGGTGTCATCTGCAAAGACTGAAATGGGATTTTTAATCCCAGACCCTATATCATTTATAAATATATTAAGAAGTAAGGGTCCCAA